ATGTATGTATGTATGTATGTATGTATGTATGTATGTATGTATGTATGTATGTATGTTTTTTTTATAGAGGAGGTAAAATACATATACGTATCCCAGTCCGAGCTATCTAATAATTTTTTTCTCACATATTCTATACACTCACATTAAGAAGTTCCTCTCCATAATCCTTTCTCAATCCTTTCCTACCAATCATCCTGTTACGTGAATGTTGGAACGCTTCACGTAATAATTATCCGTAACTCCTATTCTTTCCCGCTTCACAGCATTATTTATATTTATTGGGTGTAAAAGCAGAACCTACGGACGTGAACAACGCTACCCTCGACTTGCTAGGTCAGTTAGTGTGACCAATCCGTTAAAGGGGAGTTTTGTCCACGGGAGCCGTGTGTGTGTGTGTGTGTATTCGTGTGTATTCGTGTGTGTGTGTGTGTGTGTGTGTGTGTGTGTGTGTGTGTGTGTGTGTGTGTGTGTGTGTGTATGTAAGGCTTGACCACACTTAGATTTTGAATACAACTGGATCGATTCGGACCGGTAGATTTTGAGAAATCTCGAAAAAACTACAAAAAAAATTTTTTCTAATGTGGTTTTTTTTGATAGATTCCAAAAACTAATCAGCTCTTAACATCAAAAGTGTTTTTTTGAAGTTCCTAGTTCCATCCATTTATACTCAAACATTCTTTATGAGGCTTCAAAAACGGCGTCGAATGCTGCCAATCGCGGTTGAAAATCAATTCATTCATTCAAAAGTTATTGCGGTTTAAAAATTCAAAAAATTGTGTTTTATTAAACCGCTATTAGAGTTTTGAGCTCAAAGAGCTCAAAATGAAACTAAAATCATATTTTTGAGCTCGAAGAGTTCAAAAAAGTCATAAGTGCAATTTTAAGCGCCTAGATATGGATTTAGCGGGAAGTTGCAGGGATGGCCTTTAGGGTCAACCGTTTTCCAGATTTTTTTTTACGATTTTAGACTCAATGGCCGCCGTACTAAGAAGAAGAAGGACCTTAAACCAAATCTTCCGAAAAACGTGGTAACACAGAACGTCGGAAAAAAGGAGGTGAATGAGTGGCAAAAAGTCCAGTCAAAGAAGTCGATGAGAGAGCAAGCCAAAGAAAAGCTCCAGAAGCAACCGCCGAATGAGCCCCGACCGGAGCCTAAGCTGAAAAAATCGTGCAAATGGATCAGGCCGGACGCACTGATCATCTGCCCAGCTGAAACGGCGAAGTACGCTGAGATTTTGCGCCGACTAAAGACGGACGTCCCTGATGAACAGGTCCGGACTACTGTACATAAGATCCACAAAACCAGGACCGGGAATATGCTGATTACGCTGTCGAGGAAGAGCACTGACAAAGGCCAAGCCTTACAGAAGACTATTGCGGGCATCCTCAGAGAAGATGCCAAAGTAATTTGCAAAGGGCCACAGGAAGACATCGAGATCCGAGACCTGGACGGCACCACAACAAAGGAAGACATTCTGCCTTGCAAACGGTAACCGGAGAGCTCTGCGAGATACCACCAGAGACAATTAAGATTCGTAAGGCTTACAGAGGTACTCAGACCGCTGTTGTGACACTATCGGCAACTGCAGCGCGGAAGATACTGGAAGGAAGCGGTAAAATCCGGATCGGTTGGGCCAACTGCCGAATTAGAGCCACCAGGAGACCAATCCAATGCTTCAAATACTGGAACTTCGAGGACTATGGATCCGAGTGCAAAAGCAAGGCAGATCGGTCTAAGGTATGCATTAGGTGCGGACAAGAGGGACACAAGATTGCTGAATGCAAAAATACAGCAAAATGTGTACTATGCGCGGATCAAAGCACAGAGAACGCTGCCCATTGTGCCGGTACATACAGGTGTCCGGTATTCAAAGAGACACTTCAGAAGATGACAAGCAAAAGAACATGAAGATATTGCAGCTAAACCTAAACCATTGTGAACCTGCACATGATTTGCTTATGCAGACAGCAAGAGAACTAGAGTTAGATTTAGTAATGATAGCAGAGCCATACAGACATCTGAGTACCCAACCCTGGGAATCCGACAGTACTACCAAAGCTGTCATCTGATCCTGTGGTAGGCATCCTTTCCAGAGTGGAGTGAACAGTGGTAGCACTGGCTTTGTAGCAGCATCAGTTAACGGCATCCGTTTTTATAGCTGCTATGCAGCACCACCTATCCTCTCCATTGACGCTTTTACTGACTTCCTGGATCGACTGACCGAGGACGCAAAGCAGCATTACCCAGTAGCAATAGCTGGGGACTTCAACTCCTGGGCGGTGGACTGGGGTAGCAAGCAGACTAATGCGCAAGGTGAAGCATTACTTGAGGCCTTCGCTTCGCTAGATGTAGTCCTACTAAACAATGGTGACATGCCAACCTACACCAAAGGTGATGCGACCTCCATCGTAGATCTCACTTTCGTTAGCAGCAACCTCATCAGAGGAAACTACTACTGGAAAGTGATGGATATCTACACGGCCAGTGACCACAATGCGATTCTCTGGGAAATATCACACGACCAGAATACGAGAAGACCGAATATGCAATCTAATACTGTTGGGTGGAAAGTGAAGTCCTTTAACCCGGGTGCACTGGAAATAGCTTTGAATAGTGATTCGATCACCGCTGAAGACGCAGAAGAAAGGAGCACAGAACTGATGAAGAGAATTGCACAGGCTTGCGACGCCTGTATGCCACGTAAGCGTTGCCTAAATTAAAGACCTCCAGTACACTGGTGGAATGACCATATCAGTGTCCTTCGTAAAAAGTGTCTTAAAAGAAGGAGACTATCCCAGCGTGGCTATCGACGACCTAACTCGGCGGAGCTGGTCGCAGAGTACAAAAAAGCCCGTCGAGAATTGAACAAGGTCATCAAAGATAGCAAAAAACGTTGCTGGAAAAAACTCGTCGAAGAGGTAGAGAAAGATCCATGGGGTAGACTGTATAAGGTGTTCATGACCCATCTAAAAACCAACTCATGCCGTCACCTACGTGTCCTCAGCTTCTAGAGAGGATCGTCTCCACGCTGTTTCCACGACAACGTGAGTTTACCTACCCATGTGAGCAACTTAACCCTGAAGATATTCCAGCAATCACTCTGGATGAACTGATGGAGGCATGTAATCGTGTAGGGAATAATAAGGCGCCAGGATTGGATGGAATCCCAAACATTGCATTAAAAAAAGTTATTAAAGCAGCGCCAGCACTATTCCTAGAAACCTACGATACGTGTCTCAAAGAAGGGATCTTTCCTAGAAGGTGGAAGCAACAGAGACTAGTCTTGCTTCCCAAAGGAATAAAGCCACCGGAAGAGCCATCATCTTACCGCCCACTCTGTATGTTAGACACGGTGGGTAAGATATTAGAGCGTATAATCCATCAAAGGATAGAAGCAATTGTGGATCCACTTTTCGCAAACGACCAATATGGTTTCCGGAAAGGACGATCAACTCTCGATGCAATCAACCTGGTTGTCAATACAGCTAAGGATGCAATTGCTGGAAGTAGATGGAGGCGTGGTACGAAAAAGTATTGTTTAGTGGCTGCCCTGGACATCAAGAATGCCTTCAATTCCGTTAACTGGGACTGCATTATGCGGGCCCTAGAAGACAAAGAAATACCATAATACCTGCGTAGAATGGTAGCAAACTACTTCACAAACCGAGTTCTTAAATACGACACAAAAAGTGGTCCAAAGGAGTACGAAATAACCGGAGGAGTACCACAGAGCTCAGTTTTGGGTCCTTTGTTATGGAACATCATGTATGATGGCCTTCTGAGATTCGCGTTGCCATCAGAGGTCAAGCTTGTTGCATATGCCGATGATGTAGCCGTAGTGATTCTCGCGAAACAACTGGAAGAGATAAATCTGGCCTTCGATATCACATTTAGCCGGATTAATCTATGGATGGAGATGATGAACTTGAAACTAGCCAAGCATAAAACAGAAGCAGTACTTATTACGAGCAGAAAAATAATGGAAACTATCAAGCTGGATGTCGGTGAACAAGGAATCACATCGCAACCTTATATCCGATATTTGGGAGTGATGCTTGATGCCCGACTCAATTTCAAGCAGCAGGTGGAACACGTCAGTGCCAAAGCGTCAGTTGTGAGAGGTAGCCTAGCGCGACTGATGCCCAACGTTGGTGGGCTAAAGCAGAGCAGAAGACTACTGTTATCATCTGTAGTCACATCGGTCCTCACATATGGAATATCCATTTGGGCCGACACTCTCGAGGCGCAAGAATCATGGAGAAAGGCTGGACCAATATACCGACTGAGTGCCTCAAGAGTAGCCAGCGCCTTCCGCACAGTATCCGACGAAGCAGTGTGCGTTATTTCCGGAACTCTGCCTCTCAGAGTCCTAGCTAAGGAAAGACGGCAGCTTTACTATCGAAAGAGGACAACTACACTGAGCGCTGAAGAGCTTAGAGCGGAAAAACGGCAGAACAGCATATTCCGATGGCAGCTCCAATGGGTTGCTGCAGAAAAGGGAAGATGGATGCATCGTCTTATACCAAAGATCGACGTTTGGCTGAACCGAAACTGCGGCGAGGTCAACTACTACCTTACGCAGATGTTGTCAGGACATGACTGCTTCCGAGCCTATCTTCATCGCTTTAAGCACGATGATTCCCCAGAGTGCCCGTCCTGCCCAGGTGTCGCTGAAGACGTGAAACACGTGTTCTTTGTGTGTCCTCGTTTTAATCCACATACTTACACACACACACACACACACACACACACACACACACACACACAGGAGCCAAGCAAAATAACCAAACAAAATACGCTCCCGTGGACAAAACTCCCCTTTAATGGGTTGGTCACACTAACTGACCTAACAAGACGATCGGTCCCTGCTGTAACTCACTGGGAGTGTCCGGAACCTATATC